ATTGATAATATTGTTTTGGCACAGGAGGTCTGTCATGGAATGACATCTTCAAATGAGGATGTTATTTTGAAACTTGACATGACTAAAGCCTATGATAGAATGGATTGGGGATGTATAAACTTGGTTCTTGAAAAGCTGGGTTTTTGTCAAAAATGGATAGACTTGGTTAATAATTCAATAAGCAACATTTGGTATTCTGTTATTGTGAATGGTGAGGCAAAGGGGTTCTTTCACTCTTCTAGATGATTGAGGCAAGGAGACCCTTTGTCTCCCAATTTATTTATACTTGCTGCTGAGTTGTTGTCCAGGTTGATAAGCCAAAAGCCAGCTGTGTTCACTCAGTCTATAAAATGGCCACAGATTACACACTTGGCATTTGCTGATGATATGGTGGTGTTTTCTTCTGGAAAGAATGGGGGTATTGGAGGTGTGATAGAGGCATTGGAGAGGTATGAAGGTCAATCAGGGCAGTTGATCAATAGGAATAAGAGTGCTTTTTATATGCACAAGAGGGCATCATGGGTAGCTATTGAAAGAATGAAAGAAGTGACAGGATGTCAGCACAAAAATTTCCCATTCACATATCTGGGATGTCCTGTTTACCAAGGAAGAAAGAAAGTAAGCTTGTTTGTGAATTTGGTGGATAAGGTGGCTGCAAGATGTAGAGGATGGTAGGGCAGGCTTTTATCTCAATGGGGGAAAGCTGTCTTGATTAAATCTGTGTTACAAACAATGCCAACACATGTGTTTATGCTATAAACCCCCCAAAGGCTGTAGTTAAGCAGATTAAGAGTTTGATTGCTGACTTCTTCTGGGGAAAACAAGAAGATAGAAAGAAGCATCATTGGAGTTCATGGAAGACTTTGGCATAGCCAACAAAGGAAGGAGGAGTGGGATTCACTGGATTGAAAGAGATGATTGATGCAGCAGGAGCAAAACTGTGGTGGAACTTTAGGAAGGGTGAATCAATTTGGAGCCAGTTTATGAAAGCTAAGTACTGTAATGAAGTGCATCCAGTAGCTAGGGGTTGTAATTACAAAGATTCACATATTTGGAGGAGAATGGTGGCTATAAGGGATAAAGTGGAACCTGAAATTGAATGGGATGTTAGATGTGGAGACTTGAATATATGGTGGGATAATTGGTCAGGGAAAGGGGCTTTAGCTATGTGGCTGAATATGAGGGGGAAAAGGAGGTCTAAGGAAAGGTTAAGGGATGGATGGATAAATGGAGTTTTGGATTTAAGCAGATTTGGGATTCATGAGTTACAATTGGGACAAAACATAAGGATAAGGGATGGGGTGGACAGGCCAATCTGGAAACCATCAAAGTCAGAGTTCACTTTTAAGTCTGCAAAGAGGATCATGGGACAACATGAGTCTGGGGATACTAGGATGTGGTGTAAGAAGATATGGAACAAAGGGATAACATGGAAAATGTCATTTTTGGCTTGGAGAGTATTTAAGAGGAAGTTGCCTGTGGATGATGTGTTAAGAAGAATGGGCTATCAAACTGTTCCAAGGTGTGCATGCTGCATTAGGCCTGGCTGTGATAATATTCAACATATCTTTGGGATGGGGGAGACAGCGCAACAGGTGTGGGGTCATTTTTCAAGGGCATTAGGGGCTAAAATTGAAATAAGAAGTGAGAGGCATGTGTGCTATGAGTGGTGGCTAAGGAAGTCTAAAAATAGGATGATCAAGTTCATAACAGATAGGCTTGCAGTCTTGATTATGTGGGAGCTTTGGGTAAATTACACACAGTGTAAGTATGGAAATGGGAGACCATCTGTGGCAAGGGTTATTTATAAGATATCTAAAGATCTAGCTGAGTGTATCCAGAGGAGATGGCCTAAGTGGGATCCTTTCCCTCCAAACATTAGTTTTATAGTGAGAAAGGCAGAGAGTTTTGGATGTGGGAGAATTATACAAAGGGCAAATTGGTGTAGACCAGTGGCAGGAAGTGTGAAGATCAACTGGGCAATAGAGGGTCAGAGTTGTGTCTTTTTCATTAGAAACTCAAGGGGTATGTTCTGTGCTGCTGGGGTTTACACAGGCCAAAATGGGGAGAGCTTGTAGGCATTAGCTAAGGAGATGATTCATGACTGTTGGAATTGGTGTTTTAAAAACAGTATAAGGGATGTATGCTTTGAATCTGACCAAGATATGGAGTGGGAGCAGGAGGAGTGGCAGCCTTCAGTTAGCAGGTGCAATGGGAAAGTCAATACTGTGGCCAGATGTTTGGTTAGAAGATGTAGGGGTGGGTGTATATTTTTCTGGAAAGTGGGGGGGTTGCCTAAGGGGATGGGGAGAATTCTTGCACTAGAAGGTGTCCCTCACTTTATTCTTTGTCCTGGAATTGATAGTGTAAGTTGATCTGCTCTTCTGGGGGTGAAGAGTGGTCATCTTTGTGTAAAGTCCAAAGGGAGAGGGACCCAATGAAGGATACTGAGGGTCCTAGATCTTTGGCTCTTTTAGTGAGGCTGGAGGAGGGAGAATAGGAAGGTTTAAAAATAAGGAAAATGTGGAGTAAAACAGATGAGAAGAAAGTGGAAAAACTATGAGGGGAAGAGGGAGTTCTAAGGAAGGAGGTGAGTGAGATATGTGATGTGGTCTTGATGCTTATGGCCCAGTGTAGGTAACTGAGGGCCTGGGGCTGCTTCATGATGTTAGCAACCCAATGATTGGATGCATCTCTGGGCATTCAGGAGGGTTAACAGAGGTTGCTGAGGGAACTGGCAGCGGGGATGAGGCTTTATAAGCTGACCTGCTGAGCAGATTTTGCTGGGCTGATCTGCAACTGTGTTGTGGAAATGAAACCTCTTGATTTGCAGGGAATCTGGAGCAGCACTGGAGCAGCTGGAAGATGGAGGATGCAGGTCCAAGAATGGCCTTGATCTGCTGCTTACAGAGGGTCAGGGTCTATGCACCAGAAAGCTATGACAGTACAAGGGTTCTAGTTTGCAAGTGATGTCTGGTTGAGCTAGAGGCTTAGCTTATCAAAGGGAACCCTTTAGTTGACTTTGAGCTTTTTGCAACTCTCTTGGGGGTTGTGCTTAGATGGTGGAATCCTTATGGCCTCCAAGTATAGCACACACCTGGAGTTGGGAGTGCGTTGAGCTTGAAAGATTGATAGTGAATTTTGCTGAAAAATAAGAAGAAAAGAAAAAGAGTATGTTTGGAAAAAGGAAGAAGAAGAGGGAGAATAAGAAGGTGGAAAAGAGATGAATGAGAAAAGAAAAGGAAAAGAAGGAATTGGGGGAATAGGGAGTTGAGTGTTGGAGAACCTTTGCTTAGATCGGGATTGTACAGGCCCCCCGGACCTAAAGCACGGTACGCCGTGCCGAGGGGGTTGATCCTTGGTCTAAGGGAGGTGGGTTAGGGAGCCATCGCTCTAGTCGGGATCCTAGAAGCTCCCCCGGGTTAAAACTTGGTACGCCTCGCCGTGGGGGGTGGGTCTTTGGCTAGAGGATGGAAGAGGTGAGCACTATGGCTTAGGTCGGGACCCGAAAAGTCCCCCCGGGCCTAAAACACGGTACGCCGTGCCGGTGGGGATGGGACCTTGGTCTAAGTATAGTGGGTAGGTTTGATCTTGAGAGCTCACGCATCGGTCCCATCACTCGTGTGGGACGGGGAGCCTATTTTGGATAAAAGGATTGTGGAAGTTTTGGAAAGGAGAGGGTTGTTAAAGTTTAAAATCCACTTAGGGGTTCCCTTGGATATTTTGAGCCATTGGCTTTACTAGATACTCATGGTTTGGAGCTAGTTCTTGTACGTAAGGGACATGTGCCCTCTTGGTGTTATAGGCTTCGGCCTTCTTGTATATAGCCAAGGCCGAATGGCCTTGGTATGCTTTGTATTTAGGACCCACTTTTGGGCTCCATAGACTTTGTAGAACTACAATTTTGATGATATATACATTTCCTTTGCTTGTAAAAAAAAAAAAAAAAAAAAAAGAATATGTGATGTATAAAAAACAACATTTTTTTTTCTTAAAATATTCAACCCACGTGTATTATTATTATTATTATTTTTGAATGTTACTGGCCCTATTAAATTGTAATATTCTCAACCTACTGAAACACAAAGAACAAATAACGCCTCCACAAAGGCTCGAACTCATAACCTTCCAAATGGAAGTCCAACCCGGATACCATTAGACCACATAGTATCTAATTGCATTATTAACTATTTTTATTAATTAGCTAGAATATACATTAAAATTACAATAGTTGGTAACTTTTAACCATAAAACCATAATGAATATGTGATGAATAAAAAACAACATTTTTTTTCTTAAAATATTCAACCCACGTGTATTACTTTTTTTTTTGAATGTTGATGGCCCTGTTCATATACTTTCTCAACCTACTGAAACACAAAGAACCAATAACGCCTCCACTAAGGCTCAAACTCGTAACTTTCCAAATGGAAGTCCAACTTGGATACCATTAGACCACATAGTAACTAATTGCATTATTAACTATTTTTATTAATTAGCTAGAATATACATTAAAATTACAATAGTTGGTAACTTTTAACCATAAAACCATAATGAATATGTGATGAATAAAAAACAACGTTTTTTTTCTTAAAATATTCAACCCACGTGTATATACATTAGTATCTGTTCATATACTTTCTCAACCTACTGAAACACAAAGAACCAATAACGCCTCCACTAAAGCTCGAACTCGTAACCTTCCAAATGGAAGTCCAACCCGGATACCATTAGACCCAAGGTTGTAAAACTCGGCCGCCTAGCCACCTAGGCGCCCGCCTAGGCGCTACGCGGCCCAAAACCTTGCCGTTTTGGCCTATCAGCGGCCAACTCGGCCGACTCGGCCGAGTTAATTTTTTTTTTTTTGGGGTTTTCCCTCAAAACGACGTCGTTTTGAGCGAAAAACCCAAATTAAAAAAATTTTGACTTCTATTTTTGATTTCTAATTCCTAATTTTGACTTCTAACCGGCTAACCCTAACTCCCTAAGTCTTATTTGTCGACTGTCGTTTATTCTTGCGAGTTGCGAGTTACGAGACGGGAATCGGGAGCATCGAAGCTCCGTCGCCGACAGTCTGACACCCCAGAGACCTCCATCGAAGCCTCGTCGCCGTCGCAGCTGCAGCCGTCCGTCGCCCACACGCTCCAGCTCCGTCCGTCGCCGTCGCCCTGTCAGCTCCGTCCGTCGCCGTCGCCCCGTCAGCTCCGTCCGTCTGTAAGTTTCCAACTTTCCATTCATTTTTGGCTTCATTTTTGTTATTGATGTTTATGTGCACTCTGTCTACTACTCTACTGTCTGTCACTCTGTATGTCATTGACTGTAAACCGTCTTCCATGCTAGTGTTTGCTGCAACATTCCTAGAATCCTAGTTTTGTTAGCCCGGTTTATCTGAAGCTGTGTATTATACTGAAATGTGTATTATCTGAAGCTGTGTATTATACTGTCATTGACTGTGAGGCTTGTATTTTTCAACAGTAGAGCTTAATGCATATTTGTATTACACAAAATGTGTGTGTTTAAAATCTTGGAAGTCAAAATTCTTTTGGTGACATTATTGTTTAAGACAGTGCAAATATTCAGTAAGATTTTGTTTGTTAATTGATCTTTAATTCTTTGGTCCTTTACCATTTGCTTGTATCCTCTTTCTGTGTATTTAGTTTGAACTAATTCCATAATTTATCTTAGTTGAAAAATTGTTAATTATATCTCATTTCATCATTTGTTAGTTGATTCAAGCAATTCAATTATTGACTTACCACCTAGTAATTAATGGCTTCATCAAGTGCTTCGGCTACTCAAAGTGTTGGTTCTTCTGAAGCAATCACACTTAAAAGGAGATCAAATGATGTAGGGTGGGAATATGGTATTTTAGTTGATGGGAAAAATTTGGATAAAGTAAAATGCTTGTTGTGCGGGAAAGTTTTATCCGGTGGAGTGCATCGAATAAAAGAGCATATTGCTCATATACAAGGAAATGTTAGTCCATGTTCTAAAGCTATTAAAGATGATCAACTTAAGTGTAGAAATGCACTCAATGAAGCCAAGATGAGAAGGAAAAATAAAAAAGTGAATGAAGATAATTTAAGAGCCGGGGTGAATATTGATGGTAGAAGTGAGTCAATTGATGTTGAGGACTTGCAAGGGTCTCTTGGATCTATGAAGCCACCACGTTCACTTGGCCCAATGGATAAGTTTGCAAGTGGCATCAATCCCGAATCTTTAGGAAAGACATTGCAACAACAACGTATTGATGGTGCAATATGGAAGGAAAGGTCAAATAAAGTGAAAGAATATATATGTAGATGGGCATATGAAGCCGCTATTCCTTTTCATGCATTTGAAAAAGATAGCTTTAAGATGATGTTAGAAGCAGCTGCACAATTTGGTCCCGGAGTTGAATCACCAAGTAGATATGAGATGAGTGAAACATTCTTGAAGAAAGAAGTTGATAAAGTGAAAGAGTCTTTGAAGATACATGAAGAGGAGTGGAAGCAAAATGGATGCTCAATCATGACGGATGCTTGGACCAATAGAAAGAGAAGAAGTGTAATGAATTTGTGTGTGAATTCAACTTTAGGCACCGTTTTCCTTACTTCTAAAGAATGTTCACTTGATTCACACACAAGTGAATATATCTATGAGTTTGTTGAGCATGGTATTGAACAAGTTGGAGTTGAAAATGTTGTTCAAGTTGTCACGGATAATGCCTCAAACAACATGGGAGCTTCAAAGTTGTTGAAAGAGAAGAGGTCAACCATCTTTTGGACTTCTTGTGCCACCCACACGATAAATCTAATGCTTCAAAGCATTGGAAATATCTCAAGGTACAGGAAAGTCCTTGATCAAGCAAAGGCTTTAACGATCTTTATTTATGCTCATCACAAGACTTTGGCAATGATGAGAACTTTCACAAACAAGAGAGATATAGTGAGGCCCGGTGTGACTAGATTTGCATCTTCATTCCTTACTTTGCAAAGTTTAGCCGAGAAGAATATTGAACTAAGGGCAATGTTTTCTAGCAATGAATGGGAGGCATGTAAATTTTCCAAGATAGCTAAAGGGAAGGTAGCACACAGAACCGTAACAAGTTTGGGATTTTGGCAAGGTGTAACGGCATGTTTGAAGGTTTTTGCACCATTGGTGAGAGTACTTCGACTTGTTGATTGTGATAGCAAGCCATCAATGGGGTTTGTATATGGTGAGCTTATGAGAGCAAAAGAGGAAATCAAACATGCTTTATCCGATGTCCCAAGAAACTATAAATCGATTATTGACATTATTGAAGAAAAAATGAAAGATAGGCTTGACTCTCCTCTTCATTTGATGGCATATTTGTTGAATCCTTATTACCATTATAAGGATCCACAACTTCATTTGGACGAAGTTGTAGCTGTTGGAGTTGTTGATTTTTGTGATATTCTATTCGTCAATGATTTTGACATGCAAAATAAAATTTTAAGTGAAGAATTGCCAAAATATAAGAAGAAGGAGGTGATGTTTGGAAGAAGTATCACAATCAAAGCATGTGAGGTGAATGATGACAAGTTTAATCCCGGTAAGTCATTCTTTATTCTTTAATACTTTATTGTTTACTTAATTATATTTATTTATTTATAGACTTATAGTTATTAATTGTTATGAATTTTGTTTTGTAGCAAATTGGTGGTCAAACTTTGGTACTTCAGCCCCTTTATTGAGAAGAATAGCCATGAAGATTCTTTCTTTAACATCTAGTTCTTCGGGGTGTGAAAGAAATTGGAGCACGTTTGGAGGGGTTAGTAACTTTGTATGATATTTTATTTAGTTTTTTATCAACTTGGTATGTTAATATAAATATGAATTATGATAGTTAATACTTTATTAATCATTATTTAAACTTTTGAATATTTTTATTACTTGAATTGTAGATACATACAAAGAAGAGAAATAGACTTGAATCAAATCGTCTCAACAATTTAGTTTTTGTCCAATTTAATGCTACTTTGATGAACAAGAGCAAGCAAGATAAAAATATTGAAAAGTTGGTTGGTAGTGATGCAAGTTTAGTACAAGATTGGATTGTGGAAAATCTGGAGAATGATGAGATTGAGCCGGGATTGGATTGCAATAATAATGCTATGGAAGTGGATGAAGCATTACAACCCCGTAGAAGTGCTAGATTGAGGGATCTTGATGAAGATAACTTTGAATCGGAAGGGGAAAGTGAGGAGGAATTCAAGGAAATAAATGAAGTGGAGTTTGAAGATGATGGGCTACGTGTTATTGAGCAATATGGACAAGATGAAGAAATTGGCAATGATCCTATTCAATCATGATTCATGAATCACTTTGGATTTCAAGACTTTAAAATTTGGTCTTGAATGTTGAATTTTTGTTGAATGTTAATTATGTTGTAACTTGTAAGTTTAAACTTTAAACAATGCTACTTGGATGTTGAATTTTTGTTGAATGTTAATTATGTTGTAAGTTGTAACTTGTAAGTTTAAACTATGCTACTTGGATGTTGTTTCACTTGTTTCATTAGTTGGATGATTAAATGTGGGATTTTGTTTGAGTAATTGAGTGTTTGACTTGTTTAGTTGTTTGAAGGAAATCAAGGAATGTATGATAGTTTTATTATTTGGACGTGCTATTTGATTGATTGTTGAAAACAACTTCATTAAATTTGTCAAACTGCAAGTCTGTTACTGTTTTTTTATTTTTTTTTTTAGAGTCCGTCTAGCGCCGCCTAGATTCCGCCTAGGCCCTGCCTAGCCCGCCTAGGCGCTAGGCGTTGCCCGGCCGCCCGACTAGCGCCTAGCGCCTACTGCAACCTTGATTAGACCACATAGTAACTAACTGTATTATTAACTATTTTTATTAATTAGCTAGAATATACTATTTATATCTTTAAAAAATTGTAATTGTTTTACTATTGGATGATTCAATGAACCAACATATAATATCCAAATGAAGAGACATGTAGTCATGGATTTTATTCCATTAGCCCAATAAATGTCTCCACTTTCTAGTTGTAAACGTGTACCTTCCTCAATCAATCGTTATACCCTACACCATGGCGCGCGTAGCACTGTGTGTCGCGCGCCTCCCAAAACGATGTCGTTTTGGAGTCGTTTTGGGAGGCGCGATAGGAAGTTGTTGTAATTATGTATATTTTTTCACACAATTATGTATATTTATTCATACAATTATGTATATTTGTTCATACAGTTATGTACATTTTTTATACAATTATGTACATTCTTTTTATACAATTATGTACATCCGAATCAGAAAATTTGTGTGTACTATGTTAAGAGTTGATGTGTATTATGTTAAAAGTTTATGTGTATTATGTATTATGTTAGATTATGTGTATTACCTTTTAAAAAGAGTATGTATATTTTGTTATATAATTATGTACATTCATGTATACAATTATGTGTATTCTAGTATAACATTATGTACATTTTTTAACATGATTTTTTTTAAAGAAAAATTAACTGCCATACACTGGGGCGCGAAATTAAAAAAAAAAAAAAAAAAAAAAATTAAAACGACGTCGTTTTGCATCTGAACGCACAGTGCAACGCGCGCCGTGGTGTAGGATATAAATTGCCTTCCCCAATAGTTTGCTTTTGAAAAAGATATTTCATGGACTTTTTTTTTTTAATACAACATCCAACTTTATATTTTGACCAATTTTATTTCATAAAGAAAATAATCTTTATTTTTTATAGAGTAAAATTCTCATCATATGTTTACATTTTATTAGAGAAAGATAGATATGAATAAAAATTGTAGTATGTAGTCCACTTTTTTTTTTTTAAAATCAATTAAAATATTCTAGCTACCACATCAAAAAAATAAAGAATACAGTAAACACACTAGCGGCAGTGTGGGAGCAACCTCTCAAAGTGAGGGGGGTTCCTTATGCGCAGTAAGCAAATGTCTAGCCTCTGTGGTTCATGTTCAGTTGAGTTACCATGATTTACATCCTCCCAGATGCTTTGTCCGGCCGGGGTGGGGGGAGCCCTTAGGGTTGGGGTTCAACCTTTTTGAAAGAAAGAATACAGTAAATTAAACAATCTCGAAATGGGTGATCTAGTTGGTGGAGCATAACTCTTATATCTAAAAGTCATGAATTCAATTTTTGCCAATACCTTCTCGATTAAGTCCATTACATAGGATCTTCTTAATTAGTGCAATTTACATCTCTTGTGTACGAAGTGGGGTTTGCCTTGTACACACATTTAGATAGCGAATGCAAGTTTTCCTTGTCACCCTAAAAGATTTATGAATTATTACACTAGTATCTTGCACACCCTTAAATAATGACTGCTAGTTTCTCTCAGCTCGTCACCTAAAAAATACACTAAACAGTTAAAATATATGTCATATGTTGGATATATGTTGGTAAAAGCCCAATAATAATCCTACGAAAATATTATTATTTTATGGAAAAATGGGAAGGATGATCGGATTTGATGGGAAGAACGAAAGGATACCGAGGAAAAATGTTTAGTACGAGTCGAGCAAAACACTCTTTCCTTAAAACCATATTTGCTACCTCCCACAAGTTCTAGGAGCGTTGTAGTCTAAGTTTCCCAAGATAAAACGTACTACGGTTCAGTCATTTGAGCACCCAAACTTTGAACCCGGCGAACTAGAGCAAGCCTTCGAACACAGTTAGGCTAAGAAAGTAGTAGAAGCAGAGATTTTGGAGCTAGAAAACTATATTTCTTGTTATTAAAAAGTTGTTGCTCTACCCCTTCTTATATAGGGCTTGAGGATATCAATAGTTTTTAATGTATGGCTTTTAAACTGGTATTAAAACTAATTTATAACACCTGAAACAGTAGCCCACTGAGTTTAATTCAAAATTTAAAATTGAAATTAATAAAAATTTAATTCTACAACGGATGAAACCTTTTCAGTCTCAATTTGGGATTTGATTTGCACCCCTGCGCACGAGAGAGAAAACCACTATGCTATACAATTCAATTAACCTTAGAAGAGCTCTTATATAAATAGTGGTGCAAATCCACTTCCCAAACTAATGTGGGACAAAAGCTACTCTCAAGCTTTTCCCCTTACTTTTCCAACTCAAATAGGTCTACTTTGAGAATCAATATCTCATTTACTCATTATCCGTTTTGAGTGTACAATATATTAATCTCTTCATTTCACTACGAAGAACCTTAATCCACTTTAACCCAACCCAAATCAAAAGTGGACTCCACTGATATTGTACTACAAAATAGCCACTTAATATACCTTTTCTGCCATTTTAAGCTATTTTTTCCAACATCATATTATTATTTCATAAATTTACTACACTCAAATGTCATTATCATAGTCGTTATATACCTATTCAACTGCAACCACACATATAGTATCATTTTTAATGAATTGAAAATTCACCATAGGTTTATCAAATCTACATGGCAAAAATATCTATTCTTTTTTATATATAGATTTAAAAATTTTGAGCTATAGAATGCATTTGTAGTCAGGATGATAAAACACTCACGTAGAAAAAGGCAAATATAAAGAAAAATAATAATAACACAATATTTTACATGATTTAATATATATTTGCACTAAATTTTTGTCTCTCTCTCTTTATATTATTATTATTATTATTATTATTATTATTATTATTATTATTATTATTATTTCAAATTGAAATGAATATAAAAGGCCTATTGTATACATGAACCTTCGGTGGAATAAAAAGTTAAATTTTGATGTGCAATCATATCAAGTTTTGCATATAACAATTGTTGATTCATATAAGTTTCAAAGTTGAGATACATTGTTCAAAAATGAAAATTTTAGGGCACGAACAATTTGGGTCCCGCAAAATTAATTTTGAATGAAATATTTTTAATAAAAAATTAATATTAGTCAATAATGATAAGACACTATAAATTAGAAATGAGACCGTGGGAATTTTTTGTGCCTTTTTTTACCTCATTTGTGTATTAATTGCAACAGGAAATTACAACTTTGCAAATTGATGTAATAGGATACTTAGTACAGCGATTTTGAACTAATTTTGAATGCTTAACAACTTATGTTAATTGCATTTTATAAGCTTCTTGAGCCAATTAATTTTGCCATCAAAAAATTCAAGTCACAAGAAGTGTCCAACAACTCTTATAAAGTAGACTTTAATCAGTATTACAGTCGCCCTTGAACACCGCACAACCATACAATAACAACAACAAGAGAGACCACCTATACCTCATGGGACACAGACCCCACACTACACCGTGCATTGAGCCACCGACGCCTCGAGCCAACTCCTACGCTCAATCTTTCTCCGGTTCCAAATCCAACACTGCTGGAATTCAGCGATTTTCTGACCACCAAAAAGTGGTCGGAAATCGCCAAAAACCGGTCGGAAACTAGTGTTCCGACTAACTTTCCGACCAAAAGTGGGGTTCGGAAAAACCCTCGTTGGTACTTCCGACCACTCGATGCAGTGGTCGGAAATACCGTCCACAAATATAGTGGCGTCGGAAAAGTTCGTCGCTTGAAAAAGTTGGGCTGCCCGGGTTTTCCGACCACCACCGGTTGTCGGAAAACTTAATGCAAAGAACAGTTAACATTTCCGACCACTAAAAGTGGTCGGATATGTACCCAAATAAAAAAAATAATAATTATTTCACTATAGAGAATCTCTGTAGTGAAATATATAATATAGTTGCTAAGATATATGTTGAAAAATATAAAATACACACTTCATATGCTTGAAGAGAATTCATTCATCAATATACAATCAAAATCTGTCATTCCTATAGTCTCTCAGGAAAGTGTACATCATTTAAAAGTACATCTAAACTCCCTTACTTAGTTGCTGATAGTACCTAACTTATTTCTCACAATGACCAACTTCCCCACCTTTAGTTGCCACACAGCTGGAGTATACAAATGGAAAAACAAGTCAGACCCAGCATTGTAAACATGCCGCTTGCTGCAGAATAAAGACTATACTCACGTTTACATCACAAGTTCCTATTTGAAAAATTTTCATCACCTAAACAGGTGTAATTGTTGAAATGTTCATAGTTCAGATGAAGCTAACAAAGGTGTATTAATATGGGAGGGAAAAGTATCCTAGGAGCATATGCAAGCTGTACAAAATAAAAAGCAATGGAGATTTTCTTGTGAAACTCAACATACAACATAACGTGTGAAACAATGCCTAGTCTAGTTTGCTATAGGGAATCGAAAATCAGCTAGAGCAGTCTTCAGTTCAATCTAGGAGAAAGATTATCCAAAAGACATTATTATTTTAGCGAAAGAAGTCAACCAACAAAGGTCAATAGTTGAAAATATCAAGAGAATTTGGAGCAGCTTATTTTTCCTTAAGGCACAAATTCATAACTAACTTGAATAAATGAAATGCCATGTTAAAAGTCATCGAACTAGTTTGGATAAACTTATGCAAGTCATCGATGAGCATACCTGACTCTATTATTGTGGTCTGGATATTGGTCGATCACTGGATTGCCTTCCACATATCCTAAATCATGTTTAAATACATCCCAAAAATCATAAGCACATTAACTAACGTAACAATAATAGGATCAAACGTGAGAAAGATAGTTCAGATGTACTTTCAAATTTAGATGTATTGGGAGTTAAGACTAAATGCCTTGGCTTCACGTGTAATTGAAATATGCATCCCTACACAGCCACAAATTGCCAATGTCATAGTCCATTACATGCATCAACATTTTTTTAAAAGATGTTGCCTATTGAGAGAGTTAAAGATCTTTTTGTTCATAACCTTTACTTTTTATTACAAGGGGAGTTTACTAATAATGATCTTCCTTTAGCCCTTACCTAGATAGACTCAATAGACGCAATGTGCACACACACCAATTAGGGGTATTAGTGTATTACAATTTGCAGGAAATTTATAAAATAAATAAAAAGAAGAAACATACCACCACAGAGTTCTGCAGATATTGATAACCATTCATCATATCCTGGATTAGTAAGGAGATATTCTAAACCCGAACAGGATCAAGATAAACCTGTAGTTCCAACCAGATCAGAGACAAGAGATTAAGAACAAAATAGAAGAATAATTCTAAAGGAATTTCTTACATAACCCAACTACTCAAGGCTTGATCCCACCTGAAGCAAGAACTTAAAGTAAGTAAATTAAAACCACGGTTGATCTTTACTTGGACAGCCCAAAAAATTTAAAATATTTAGCCAACTTGTGGGTAGAAACTACTAGACATATAAGGTTAACTTCAGAAATTTCTCAAGCTATGGAAACTTATAAAATCCTATTGCTACACACTTAACCAGATACAGTATTCATTAGCAATTTCCCTACATGAACTTTATTCAACAATTTCTGTTAAAGTTGCAAGATGAGAAGGTCAATACATGTGTGATTATCAACCTTAAAAAGCTATCAAACTGAATCCTTTGACCTGGATTATCAATCATCATATCAAATGACAATAAAAGTATTAAACAGAACAAGGATCAAAAAGGAATTCTGAATTTAAGTTGTATCATGAACTTCATAAAAGTTAACAACTTGCTACAAGCCCCACCCTAAACAAAGATGAAAATAAAGGATTACAAAATACAAATTTCTTTGAAAATAAAGGATTACAAAAGAAACTTCCCTCCAGAAGTTTCCAAATTATTATTTTTATCTTTTATAGTTGATGGAGTTACAGCTCAATTGCTTAGAACAAATACCACAAGTTATAAATGAAGAAGTGCATCTTAAATAGTAAATTAACCTAAAAAGAGTTAAAAGAGTTAAGAGTTTTAATCCCTGATCTTGAGAATATAAAATCTCTTGCGAGGAATTGTTATAGCATTGATCAATTATGGTAAATTTACACCTTATTCAGTGTTAAAACCTCATTAACATGACAGTATATATTATGCTGCTTTCAAAATGTCAGTATATTATGGTAAATTTGCACCTTACATGACAATATATTATGCTGTTTTTAAAATGTCTTCTACCCCTTAATGGATTTTGTCCACACACTGCCATCAAAAGGATTCCATCTTAGTGGCACTGTTTTCATGTCTTACAAATAATACTCAAATCCTAATTCAGCCTAGATTAGAGCATAAAATCACATTTAAGAAAGCAAAAAAAAAAAAAATTATTACATGCATAAAAAACAAACCCATTTCAGATCAAAGAAAGCAATGAAAACAACAGAAATTAAAGCAAAGAAAGCAAAGAAAATAACAACCCACCAATTTCTTCTTCTGATAGCCTCTCAAAATTACGAAGCCTCTCTACATTACTAGAAGCAAACCCATTTCAGAGCCACATTCTATAGTTGACATCAATAATGTACAGATTATAAATTAAAGAAAACAGAACAGAATTATATATTACCCAGCAGAAAAGATCAACCCAGCAATCGTTGGCTTCTTGTTCTTCGCCAGTTGGTTTGACCCTACCAAGAGCTTCCACTCCTACCTTTGGCTAAATGCATCTTACCAAGTTTGGATTCTTCAAGAGATTAAAACTCAAAATTAGGTCAACAGATTAACACAACCAAAAAAAAATTTGCTTACTGAAGAGTGAAGACGATAGTGCTAGTGGGTTGCTGCCGTTGGAGTGCCAGTACTGGTGCCGGAGGCGCGAAGGAGGAAGGAGGAAGATTAGGGAGTACCTGGGCAAAATTTTAGGGCAAAATTTTAGGAAGGAGGGAGATTAGGCGTGGAGGAAGAAGTGAAGGAGTGGAGTGAATTTTGGCACAATATTTTTTAAGCTGAGAATGGCAAAATTTTTAAGGAGGCGAAATTTTGGGAATAAAACTGAGAATGACGCCATTTTTTTTTTACTAAATTTGGCACAATATTTTTTAAACATTAATTAAAATCATCTCAAACACTAATTAAAATTTTAAAATAAATATTAAAATCATTTAAGTTACAAATCTAAGTTTAAAAATTATCATCATCATTGTCAGATTCCTCATTATCATTTACATTATCAATATCTCCACTATCATCTTCTACAGAATCATCAGTCCTCTTCTTCAATTTCTTCAATATCATTTTCTTCTGAATCTTCAGTTTGAACACCTTGCGTCAGACCATTAGTTTCCGCTTTGAGGTAATTCCACTTCATTCAATAAAGGATAAAGTACAAATAAGCCACTGAACTATTTGGGAAACAGCAATTAAGCCATCGAACTCAAATAACCATCAAATAAGCCATTGAACCCGGAAAAAAAGAGCAGATAAGCCATTGAACCCTGAAAAAAGAGCAATTAACATTTTTTATAGGTTAACTCCAAGTTTTTGCTTATTGGATTGTCAAATGTTTATTTTATTTACGTTTATTATTTTTTTTTTATTAATATTATCCACTTGGATAGTATTATATTTTAAAATAATTATAATCAAAATAGTTTTATCTTGTCGAGATTTGATTTGTTTATTTATTATTATTTTTTCACTAGATCTTTTGTTTAAAAAAATAATAATAAATAAATAAATTAGATCTAGACAAGACAAAACTACTTTGATTATAATTACTTTAAAATATATTACTATGTAGATGGATTATAATAATAAAAAAACGTAAATAAAATAAACATTTGGCAATCCAATCAGTAAAAACTTGGAGTTAACCTGTTAAAAATGTTAATTGCTCTTTTTTTCGGGGTTCAATGGCTTATTTGAGGGTTATTTGAGTTCGATGGCTTAATTGCTTTTTCCCAAATAGTTCAGTGGCTTATTTGTACTTTATCCCTTCAATAAATTATGGGTGATATAGTATGAACTTTTGGTAAGTTATAATGATGAATGTTTGTATTATGTGATAAAAATAATACGTAATACAGTATACGATAATATACAATCCATTACGTCGGTTGGATATAAACAAAGTGTTGTGCCGTTGAAAGGACAGTCATGGCCACCGATGTAGGAGACACCGTAGCAGCGTCAGATATGGTTCGCTCATAAGAAACAATGGCAAAGCCATCAGGAATGGATGTCATGAGAAAACATAGACTAATAATACCATATGAATGTTTGTATTCTGTGATAAAAATAATACGTAGTATAATACACGATGATATACAATACATTATATAAGATGATGAAAATTAACAGAACTAGGATTGTAGAGTCCTAACAAGAATAAACGATTTAAAGAGTTGAAGTAAGAAAATGATTTCATGTATCTACATGAAAAGGGCACGGTCTTATTTTTCATAGCAAGAATGGTGAGATAGTATCTATTAGTAAACTCTCTGCGTCGTGGTCAGTTGATATCGAAAAAAAAAGTATAAGTAAAATAATCAATGATAAATAGATAAATCATGTAGTATTCATATCATTGAACCACAACAATACCACAACTACAACTACAAAATAAATAAATATTTCCGACCACCAAGGTGGTCGGAAACAAGATTAGTTTACAAAATTAAATTGCCGAAAAATATTTCCGACCATCCTCTAAAGGTGGTCGGAATTACCGACCACTTAGTGAATATGGTCGGAAATTCCGACCACTTAGTGAATATGGTCGGAAATTCCGACCACTTTAACCATTCGTCGCAAAAATTTAAAAAGTTACTTTTTCCAACCAAATTTTTGGGTGGTCGGAAAAGAGATCGGAAAAAGGATAATTTCCAGCAGTGCAATATTCCATTTATAGTAGTTGACAGTTTTACCATTTCACGTTAATTATATAATAACTTCCTTAATACCTATTAATTAAATTAATTACTGCAATAATGTCGTTGTCTTGAGTAAATAAAAATATAATGAGTTTCTTTAGCTGTTATTACTAGTTGTAACTAGGATAGATGGGTAAACCCCCTTAGCTTCCTCCCCAAAATAAAAATGGACAAATATTGACGTTACAAGTCATGAATATATCTTGGCTTGACTAGGTTGGATTTTATGCGAGTCGGAGTCGATCTATCCCATAGATCATAATTTCTTTGGATACCATATACACACATACCATGCACCTCATCTCTTGTTTGAATTTGACGTTAGACCAACCAAATTGATCAAATGTTCCCATCAACCTCTCTGCCACATGTTCTGCTGCTTGATTCATGTGCTTTCAATCATCACTCTCCTCTTACCTATATATATATATATATATATATATATATATATATATATATATATATATATATATATACTAGTTTTTTTACGCGCTTTGCGCGAATAGGATAATGCCCAATGATTATTTTTAAATAAGTATTTCAAAGTATATCAATGCAATATTATATCGGAGATGTTCATACATATGTAAATAAATATTGAATTTGTTTATTTAAATCGGTAATTCAAAATATATAAATGCAAGATAATATTTATTGAATTTTCTAATCGATATTTGGTAGTGATAGTTTTCCACTACACGTTTCATGCATTGTGAGATGTGTGTCGTAGGTTATCATGTGAAAGTATTGAACAAAATATTACGGAGTAATATTTATTATATTTGTATAAAATACTTGGTAAATAAATATATATAATGTATTTTGTATTATAACTTTGATATTTAATTACAAGATAATGTAAAAAGAAGACAATGGACAATGCAGTGAATATAATAAATTAATAAATTTGAAGGTAATGAATCTTTGAATTGTAGAAAATAAAGATAATATAACTAATGAAATTATATCTATTTATAAATTTTTTATAATGAATATTTTTTTTTAAATAAAGGCATTATAGACATCTAATTCTAAATTAATTAAATGCATATGTATTATTTTTTGTTGTAGCTACTACTTTATTTAGTTTAAGAGCAATAAAGTGGGCAAATTATGCTATGGAACCGTGTTCACCTTGCAAGGTGGACATGCATATCGGAGATATTCATGCATATGTAAATAAATATTGAATTTGTTTATTTAAATCGGTAATTCAAAATATATAAATGCAAGATAATATTTATTGAATTTTCTAATCGATATTTGGTAGTGGTAGTTTTCCGCTACATGTTTCATGCATTGTGAGATGTGTGTGTAGGTTATCATGTGAAAGTATTGAACAAAATATTAATATTTATTATATTTGTATAAAATACTTAATTGGTAAATAAATATATATCATGTATTTTGTATTATAACTTTGATATTTAATTACAAGATAATGTAAAAAGAAGACAATGGACAATGCAGTGAATATAATAAATTGATAAATTTGAAGGTAATGAATCTTTGAATTGTAGAAAATAAAGATAATATAACTAATGAAATTATATCTATTTTTAAATTTTTTATAATGAATAATTTTTTTTTTTAAATAAATGCATTATAGACATCTAATTCTAAATTAATTAAATGCATATGTATTATTTTTTGTTGTAGCTACTACTTTATTTAGTTTAATAAGAGTAATAAAGTGGCGTATATACTTTTCATCAACAATAATGCAATCATTGATTTTTTTTTAAAAAAAAATACATACAAAAAATATTAATGCAAAAGTATAATTGAAATATTAAGTTTTTTTCTGATCTAAATAATCAAAACAATATTAAATTTTTTTTCTGATCAAATGATTTTTAAAGTTCTTGATTTATAATCTTTAATGCTTAACTTTGAATGTTATGTATTTAGTCAGACTAATTATTTGAACAAAGTTTATGTTAAATTTTATATTATATATATTTTAACATATTCGTAGTATATGTTTAACAATTATGCCAACTCTAATTGGGATGTGGTTCAAAATTAAGACTTTTTTTTTTATAAAAATTAATGTATAAGTTAAAATAATAAATACTTAACGGAATATTCCGTGACTAAAGTTTATGCTAACGGAATTTAGGTTATTTAAGGGAAGAAAATAATATAATAGAGGGTAAATAAAGAAAATAAATAAAAAATGCTAAAATAAAAATAATATGAACCATTCATTTTAAGAAACAATAGTATAATATGAACCATTCATTTTAAAAAACAATAGGACCAACATTTTTTTGTTCCAGTTAAGGGCCTAACATTATTGACTCTTATTAAAATTATATAGATGTAGAAATTGTATATATATATATATATATATATATATATATATATATATATATATATATTACTCTCTCTCTCTATCAATATATATTTATATCTATATTCTCTCCTCAAGCAAACGTGGAAAATGGTTGATTCCAATTTCTTGTACTCTTTCAACTTTGTCTGCTGTGAATAATTTATTAATGTCGTCCAACCATATGCTAGGACTGTAATGTTTTGTTCTATCCTAGTCTGCATTCAGGGCTGGCCCTAGGGCAAGGGCAGGCTGGGCCCTTGCCCAGGGCCCATCTCTAGAGGGGGCCTCAATGGCCATTAGATATATTAATATATTAGTATTTTTTATGCATAATGCGTAAAAAAAAAAAAGGTGTTCAATATTAGTATTTTATATTTAAATTTATTTAAATTTTAGATATTTAAATTATTGTAAATAATAATAATGTAAAATATTTTTATAAATTTGATATTTATATTTTAAGAAATAACTAACATATAACTCCAATATATAATGTCTATATATTATTATTATAATTGAAGATAAGATAATATATGGTGGATGCATGTGCATAGTAACAATAGTGAAAAGATAACAGAAGTTATTATATTATGAGTATGTTTGACCAAAATATTGTAAAATACAACTT